TTCTTCTTCTTCTTCTTCTTCTTCTTCTTCTTCTTCTTCTTCTTCTTCTTCTTCTTCTTCTTCTCCTCCTTCTTCTTCTTTCTTTCTTCTTCTTCTTCTTTCTTCTTCTTCTTCTTCATTTCCTTTTGAAGACAACTTTTTGTCCTGTGGTTTCATTGGTCTGACCATCCGTTTCTTTAGGAAATGCTTGCCATCTATAAAGCTGAAAGGTGAAAGGGCCAAAAAAGATGGGGGTGGAGTGGAGGAGGAAGCAAGACTTCAGACTGGTCAGTTCACCCCTTTGCCAGTAGGCCTGATGGACAGTTCTAGGTCCAAGAGCACAGGGCCTAGCTTCCAAAGGTGCCAATTCTAATTTATTTTATGGCCTAAAAGGTGGGGGAGGGAAAAGCATATAAAGTGCTGAAGGTGGCAACTATGCATAAGCTAAAAGTGCATACACATACATATTCCATGCCAGTCCAGCTGGCTTCGCCAAAATGCTGGGGCTAGGCACAGGTCCTTATAAGAATACATGTCAGCTCCAGTGTACAAAGCACACATCTGTGGGCAACACACCTTCCAAGTACTGAGCACTAGTCATGTGCTGAACAAGTTTAGTTCTGTAGGAGTCTCTCAATAAATCTACAATTTGGATATTATCCCCACTTCACAGATAAAAAAGAACCGAGGCTCAAGTAGATTAAGTAAGACACTCAAGGTCACAGAGTCAGTGACAAACGAGCTGAGCAGTAACTGGAGACACAGGGTGGCCCCCAGATTCCCAGGTCCTTCTGCTGATTACCTCACTGGGGTGGGCCCAGGAATCTTTATTGAAAAAAAAAAAAAGCACAACTCCTTTGGTGATTCCAGTGATTCGACAGGCCTTTGGAAGCACCGCTCCACATCAAACCATCCCACTATTCCTGTCACCAGTCTTGCCTCCAAGCAGCCCACTCCACGTTGGACAAAACATTTAAAACATATTTAAGTAGCAATTTCAAAAAACTATACAGCATATGGATTTTCCTTTTGATCTCAAAATGATGACAAACAGACACTTAGATACTTCATAAAAGAAATATTACCAGAAAAATTATAGAAATCTGGCTTTCAACTTCATCTTGCTCTAATTTAAACAAAATGCAACTTTCCAGTTACTCTCTCCCCAAATGCATCCAAACTGGGAGTGTCCCTTTTTCGCTCCGTCAGGCCTACACCTATTTATTTCTAGCCCACCCCTCGATCTGAATAAAAGCTTCTGGTAAGATGGACAGTAAGGAAAACTTCAGTTCTATCACCAAAGCCCCTGAAAATGGAGCACCCCCGAATTCACACCCTTGACATGAAAGACCGAAGAGAGGGAAGCTGGAAGTAACGGCCAAACATCCTTAGAGTAACTGACAAAAGAAAGCGGGTGGTCAGAAAGGGAGATTTCCATCCCTTCAAACGTGCCCGCCCCTCCCGTGGTCCCGGGAGAGAGCCTCCCTCCTAGGTCGAGCGCGTCCACCGGCTGTCCCTGCAGCAACAGGCGGCCGGCGGGGGAGGGGAGGCCGCGGGGCAGCGCGGGCCTGGCGGCGGCCGACGCTCCCTACCACAACGACGTTCCCCGGCTCCGCGGCGCGCCGGGAGCAGGTGGTTGCCCTCTGCGTCCCGGGCGTGCACTGAGCCCAGGCTAGCCGAGCAAGGCTGCAGCCCCTGCGGTGGCCCGGGAAGAGGCAAGTGCCGCGGGTCCGGGGCGAGGAGGGACCGGGCGAGCAGGCAGGGCGGTCCGGACCCCCACTTGGCGGCGCAGGCAGGAGGGGCGCGCCCTCTGCGGAGCGCGGCGCCGTGGCAGCCGCAGCATCCAGCGCTCGCTCTCTCCAGCCCCAGAGGCCCCGACACCTAGCGCGGGGCCGAGGCGACGAAGGGCGGGCCGGGGAGGGAGGAGGGCATAGGGAGGCAGCCGCGGGCGAGGAAGCCCCGCTCCCGCCGAGTGCCTGGAGAGGAGATTCCCAGACTTCCCGCCCAACCCGAAACTTTTCCAACACACGCAGGCGTATTCCTCGCAGGTCTCGGCGGCCAAGTCGCAGTCAGGGAGGAGGCTTGGGAAACACACGTGCCTGGCACACTGGAGGAGGTACACAGGCACACCAGGAGGGACAGGGCCTCTCGGGAGGCGGCTGAGGGCGTGAAGGCAGCAGGCGGCCACACATCCGAAAGGGGCTCCCCGCGAGCGGGATCGAGCGCTAAAAACCCTGCCACAGCTCGGAAGTGTGGCGGTGCCCAGAGGCTTTGCGTAACTTTGCCCACTGCGCCCCCGCGTGCAAAGGCGTCCCCTTCACACTCACACCTTCACCCCACCCCACTCCCCTTGGGCTGCGGCCCGAGACAGCCTTCGTACTTAAGGGACAGCGAAAGATATGCTGATTTGAGAACCAAAGATGGTGGACAAGGGGGTTGTAAATTGTGTAAATTCCACTCGCGGGCACCCCCAGATAGGTAGGGAGAGCACCCCGTTCTCCCCGAAGGCATCCCCTCCTCTTCTCTCGGCCTTTGGGTCTCCAGCTTCTTCACTACTGTGGACTGAAGAAGATAAAGCACAGCCAAATCAATGTTTTTGTTTGTTTGATTGTTTTGGTTTTTTTAAAATCACGGCCTCTTCAAATGCTAACCCTCAAAACGCTGGATGGGGTCGGAGAAAGGCGAGTTATGCCAGGGAGCACCCCTCGGAAGGCGCGCGCGCGGCCTGGCGGGAGGCTCGCCGGGCTCTGGGCGGCCGGGCGGAGTGGCTGGATTATGTAAGTAGCAGCCCTCCATGTGCTCACCACCATCTGTTAATATCTTGGTATTGGAAAGTTCGGTGCCTGAGGCAAAGCCAGGGTTGGCGGCGAAGAGCTCCCAGCCTACACTTTTCTACTTCAGGGCAGGGAACATACTTCCCTTTGATTGTTTTCTCCCACTTCCATAAAATCAAGTGGTAGTGTGTCCCTGCAATCACTGACAACCCCCTCATCCCCGCGGGTGTGTCTTTGTGAGCGAAGAGTGATTTTCTTCGAGGTCAACTTATTGTAATGAGCCCTTTCGATGAATTTATATTTTCATGACAATTCTGCTCTCCTTAAAGGAATGTGGCGGACTCTTTATTTGGGAGTGGGTTCTTTATCATTTGAAAAATTACTTTCTTTCTGCCAGCACCCCTGGATCCAAATTCTTGCAAGGGTTATATTTCAACTTATTTGGAGTGATTGGCTTCTGTTTACTTTGAAAGCTGTTGGTAAAACAAACACCACTCGGGAGGCTTCTAAGCAGTGGGGTTCCCAGGAGAGAAAACGCTGCAGCTGCTACTTGCTACTGATCTTGTGGCATTTCACTTCCCCCTTATTCAGAACAAATCCAGGTTGGGCTTGGCGTCACACTGGGCACAGAGTGAGAGAGAGGCCGTCAGCCGGTTTTGCCTCTAGATAGCTTGCAGCAGTCAGGCCTGCACCCTGGGTTGGTTTTCCTCTCTGCCCTTCTTCAGGGTGGTAATGGTGGTGGGGTGGTAGTGGTGATGGTAGTGGTGGTAGTGGAGGTGGTGGTGGGTGAGTGGGTGGGTGACTAGGAGGTCCTTAGGCATCCTTCTCCAAAATCCACGTCAACATTTGCCTCTCAACTGAATCTGATTGAAATTCCCAGAATTGGTTTGTTTAGGATCTGATAACAGTTGTTTGTAAGGTTTTAAATTACTTATACACAGTCTTCCCTCCTGCCCCCATCCACCGCTTTAAGAAAGAACAGGAGGCGAGCATACACCGAGGAAATGTCAAGGCGAAGTGTATTTAACCCAGAGCCAGATGCACGAGTGATAACTGCGAGTTTGTCTAAGAACACACAGATCACCCTTCAGATAAATAAGTAAATGCAACCTGCACGGATAGGGTTTGTTACAAGACCGGTCAGAACTTGCGTTAACTTTTAAGTTATTGGGGTTGTGTTGGAAATGGGGCAGAGGGAGGAGTTGCCTTGACCCTAGGCTTGGCGGCTGGTTTCAGGGATGGAGCCAATATCTAGGCGACTTCTCGTCTCCAGGCTGACTGATCGCCTCTCTCCTATCAGAAAACAAACCGGGAGTCGCCCGAGATAGGGGGCCCGGGCCTCAAGTCTTGCTCCAGGGCCGCCCAAGACCCGGGAGAGTGCCGTAGCTCCAGCAAGAGAAGTTTCCAGGAGCCTGGCCTGTACGCTACCCCGACAGTAGAGGACAGGACGCGGGACAGGGCTGCGTGGAGGCAGCTCACGGAGCTGGGCTGCGAACCGAGCTCGCTTGCCTAGCGTCGCGCGCGCTTCTGTTTCAACTGGCAGCTCCTGCGCCCTAATGCGGGCTGCGAACCGCCGCGGCAGAGCGTCGCGAACCGGGAGCCTCCGCCGCCAAGGCAGGGGGTGAGGGAGCTTCCTTGTTCGCCAAGCGGGTTGCCTCGACTTCTACTCAGGCCTGCTTTTCCCCACGGCGTGACACAGGACTTACTGGGGTATTCGGGGAACTTTTCCCGCCGCAATTCCCGGGCGTGGTGTGCGCAAAACGTGCATTCAAGCGCTATGTGCAATTGACACAAACTCGTGGACTTAAGTGCAAGCCATTTCTTTCGCGTTTAAATCTTTTTCTGTGTCCCTGCCTCTTTTCTTCCCCCTTCTCCCTCCTCCTCCTTCCCTCCTCTCCGCCCTTTTAAACGTCAAACTGAGCAGATGGTTTTAAGGTGTGGAAAGGTATATAGCCCTTACTCCTACCAGTTTAATTGTGGGCTGGTGCTAGCTTATATGTACAAACCAAGATTCTTAAAGAAAACTAGTAGGACGAAAAATAAGAAAGGAAGTACCTTTGATCCATTCTCAGATCCCAAATTTCCCCGCTCAATACACCCGCTTACCTCGAAGGGACCCAACCAATAGAAGCATTATTCCATCCTGTATCTAATAGGCATGTTGATTATTTCTGCTCCCAGCCTAAACTGTCACATCCCGGTTAGAACACTTGCTACAACAGTCAATAGTTGGAGGTGTGAGTGGCGTGTGTGCGCTTCTCTGTGTTGTTTCCGTAATGGACGCGGGGGGTGGGGAGTGTCTGGGGGCGGCAAAGGGGGCAAGAAGACGGCAGGGGATGCTCCCGCAAGTCTCTTTTCTTATTGCCGACACCTAACCTGACCGACCTAATTTTTTTTTCTCTTATTTTCACTGTTTGAAATTCGTGCCAAAAGTTTCCTGCAGGGTATAGACTCGGACATACTAACATCGCTATTCTTATTCAAAGGGACGACTTAATATCCTCTTTACAGTTTGATGAATTTGGAGCTGGAATTGTAAATTTCCTAGAAAGGTGTGTGTGTTGCAGAAGATATTGGTAGTGTTTAGCCAGTGTACTCATAACACGTCTCGTAAATACCCTGTTGTCACGACACAGCATGATTCAACCTTTGATCTGATTACATTTGAGGGACACATGAAAAATACGTATCCTCCTCCTACCTACAAAAATGAGCATCTAATAGACTATGTATGAATGTTTCTGCTTCGCAGCTCTCGCAAGTCCCAGCTTTTATAGGATCTTTAAGTCATAAATGCTACTGCTTTATTAAAAACCGTTTCTGTGCCGGGTGAAAGGGACGTTCTAGCTGTGGCTGGAGGCTGGCTTGCATTTGTAACTTGCAAAGCCCAAGGAGATCTTTAAGAGCAACATTATCTAAAGAAATCTTGCTGGCTATTTTTCAAGCAAGAAATGTCAAACCAAAGTAAATTTTCTAGGGCTTTATGTTGGAGCCCGAGATTTAAGCGCTTGAAATTTCTTGCCTAATAAACTTTAAAGTTTGTTGGCCAGGAGTCGAAACTGTGTAAATCCTGTATTGAACAGCTTTCTTTGGTCTTTCTGGGGTGAGTGAATTAGTAAGGGGTAATAGCTAGATAATGTTTGCAACATACATATTTTAAAGGGCTGCTTTACCTACAATCCAAATAATGTCAGAGGTAACCAAGGGTAAGTATTCTTCCTCCTAATAATTTGGACTGGAGATTAACTGGGACTCAGCCAATGTTGATCTTCTTCTAATAACAGATGCAGCGGACTCGATGCGAAACCGCTGGCACCTATTATTTTAATACCAAACCTACCTGTATTTTATTATCCACCTCCCCTTTAAACGGAAGCAAGGGTGACACGTATTCTTGACACTACCTATGATCGTTTAAAAAGTGGAATGATTTACAGATCCCCTCACTCCCTCCTCTTATGCCACCCCCACCCCTAAATCCCCCACTTTTTCTCCCGTATACTTTTCCGTGCCTTCCTCCACCCAAGTCGGAGGAGCGCTCATTCTGTCGGCCACTCGGCGAACTCGATCAGCTACATCTGAGAAAGGAAAAAAGAAAAAAAAAAAAGGACCTGCGTCCTGGAAGAGCGAATGTGAGCTGGGCGCCGCTCGCGCCGTCTCCCGCTTTGCATAGTGCCCGCAGATGGCTCGCTCCGGCCCAGGCGCGGCGATCCAGTCGCCCCGAAGCAGTGGCAGGGCGGGGGTGGGGGTGGGGGCCGGGGATGGAGGCCCGGGAGGGGGAGCGCGGGGCCCCTCTCCCCTCCTCTCTTCCCAGCCGCTCACCCCCACCCCTTTTATATTTTTTTTTCCTCCCAAGTTCTCTTGCCTTGCTATCCCCCCTTGAATCCGAAGGCGCCTCGCGATTGGGTGCTGGGGCCGGGTACGTCAGATAGACTGTGACGTGCAGTCTTCCTGTTTCCTTCAGCTGTGTCTTAAAGTAAATCTTGTTGTGGAGCGGAGCCCTCAGCTGAGGGAGCGCTCTGAAATAATACACCATTGCAGCCGGGGAAAGCAGAGCGGCGCAAAAGAGCTCTCGCCGGGTCCGCCTGCTCCCTCTCCGCTTCGCTCTTCTTCTCTTTACCCTTCTCCTCTCTCCTCCTCCGCTGCTCTCTCCTCTCCTCCGCTCGTCTCTCTCCTCCTCTCCTGCCCTCTCCTCTTCCCTTCGCTCCTCTTTTCTTCTCCTCGTCTTCGCTCTCCTCGCCTCTCCCCTGCTCCTCTTCTCTCCTCTCCCCTCCCCGCCCGCCTCTCTCTCTCCCCTCTCCCTCTCCCACTCGCCCCGCTCGCTGTCGCACCGACTCACCGTCCCTTGTCCAATTATCATATTCATCACCCGCAAGATATCACCGTGTGTGCGCGCGCGTGTTTTCCTCTCTCTGCCGGCAGGAAAAAAAAAAGAGCGAGAGAGAGGCTCGGTCCCACTGCTCCCTGCACCGCGTAAGTATCTTCTTCTTCCCCTCGTGAGTCCCTCCCCTTTTCCAGAATCACTTGCACTGGCTTGTTCTTGAATGAGAAGGAAAGAAAAGAGCCTCCCATTACTCAGACCCGTGTACACATTCCCCCCCTCCCCAGAAGAAAATGATATTATTTAAATGAATCATAATAAAATAGCCTCTAAACAGTTTTAAGCAGGAGCCTCCGTGGAACTCGGCGCTCCGCTCCTCCCAGTTCCTAAGAGTAAGTGATCCGCTTGGCTTTTATTTCTCTCTCTTTCCTGCTGGTGGCTGGGGGTGGCGGTGGCGATGGAGGGGGGGAGGCTGATGTTGCTGGACTTGTCGCTGATCTTGTCACCTTTTGTGTACTGTTTCTGGGGTGTGAGGAGGCGTTTGCTCCCTTTCCTTCTTTCCCCTGCCCTCTCTTCTCAGGAGAGAGGACCGCGAGGGGTCCGGGTCGCTTTTTTGTTCGAGCGGATCCCGGCTTTCCGCCGAGCCCCATCCTTCCGTTCTCCCCGGGCTAAAACTCCGGGGCCGGTCCCCTAGTCCTTTCTCTTTGTCTTGTTTATTATAGCTGCCTTTCTTCCCGGCTCTTCCAATTTGCTTGTCATTTGCATACCTTTCACTTCTCCTTTTTAACCCCAGCAGAGGACCGGGAGCTGGGAGGAGGAGAGAGGGAGGAGGGGGGGCGCTCTGCTACTTTCCTCTCAAAACGCTGTCGAAGCCGAATTGTGGAAATCAGGCTTGGAGCAGTGCGATGATGGGTCGCGGGAAACGCGCGCGGCGCCCCTCTCCCGAGGTCCTGGACCCAAGACTGGGTCAAGTTGAGTAGGGTAAGGCGGCACCGGGACCCTCGGGGGGTCGCGTGGTGGAGGGAATTGGGCACCGGCGCGAGGAGGACCGGAGGATCGCGGTCCGGGTAGGGGTAGGGGGCTCTGGGCCAGCAGATATGGGAGGCAATAAATCTCCCAGCCATCGCTGGCAGACTATGATGTTGGGCAGCTTCGGTCTGGTCTCGTCTGGGTGGTACCTACCGCTTGCCCCAGTTCGGAGGACTGGGGAGGGAGGACAGGAGAGGTGAGAGTAATTGTTCCTAGGAAGACTAGTGAGGAGGGCGGGAAGAGGGGGAAAGAGCTGCTATCTTGCCTGAGCAGAGAGGGGAAGCAGGGGGCGGGTGCAGACATCACCCAAAGTCCAGTTAAGCAAGTTGTTGGTTCTTCTGGTGTGCCAGCCAGCTACTCCTCCCGCTAACGCTGAAGATTGGTGGAGAGAGCGATGGGGGGTGGGGATGGTAAAGGAGGAGTAAGTAGCTTTCCACAGACTCCCAGGTCTCTGGCCCCTTCCCAGCTTCTTGGGAAATTGAGAGCCCTCCAGGCAGACAGAGAGCAGAACTAGAAGGAGGGGTCATGCTTAGTCTTTAATAGCCCAAGGAGGCAGGTTGGAGTGTGAAAGTGCTGTTCTTGGCAACCCAGAAGGTTACTCTGCCTGGGGGAAGGCTGGGAACTCACCTGCTTGTTTTTATTTTTCCGAGAAGGTCTGTGCTGTCTCCTTGAGCTTATGAAAACAGAGCAAGCACAGGGTGGCCTCTTCTCAAAGTCAAGGCTAGAAGAGTCCCTTCTCCTGTTCTCTTTTCTACTCATGCCCTCCCTTATTTTTTTTTTTTAAACTCATTTCCTTTCCTAAACTAGGTAGGCAGAAATCTGTTAGCAGAGTTCGCATGGGCAGGGCCTGACAGGTGTGTTGTGTCAAGAAAGACAGGTGCAAATTTCCTCTGTGTCTGTGTGTGTCTGTACATTTCTAGACCACAATGCTTGCTCGAGGGTTGTAGAGGTTTATGAATTTATGGTTGTCCTGGTTAATAGGATTGTCTGGGCTAATGGGAATTGGGCTGTTGTTGTTTTGAGCCCTGCCATGTGAGTTCTTGGGGTGGGGGCTGGGGGCAAGTTGGTATGTATTTATTTTTCTTAAGGATATTGGCAAACTATTGCTGAGGATGTGTCCCAGGCTTCTGTCTGCCAGTCAGCCCAAAGCACCCCCACTTTAGGCAGCAGGTGGAGGGAGACTGACTTTTTCTTTGCTTCCTACCGGTTTATGCCTTTCTCCCAGGTCTGTGCTTGGCAGAGAGAGCTGTCGTGTGTGTGTGTGTGTGTGTGTGTGTGTGTGTGTGTGTGTGTGTGTGTGTGTGTGTGTGTGTGTTGTATGGTTTGGATAGCAAGAGTGTGTGTGTGTGTGTGTGTGTGTGTGTGTTGTATGGTTTGGATAGCAAGAGTGTGTGTGTGTGTGTGTGTGTGTGTGTGTTGTATGGTTTGGATAGCAAGAGTGTGTGTGTGTGTGTGTGTGTGTGTGTGTTGTATGGTTTGGATAGCAAGAGTGGTGTGTAAGTGCCAAGAATTCCAAAGTCAGTTTGAAAGTGTTACTGTTGTTAAAGCTTATCTTTTAAAGCATGCTTTCTCCTTGCCCAGAAAGAATAGGTATGTGCATAGACTCTTTCAAGTCATATGTTAAATAATCTCATAAAGTAGAATGAGCCTGTCATTGTCCCAGACATGTGCCAAATGTCCTAGACATGAATTTGATGGAGAAAGAAAATCTCAAGTACATGAGAAGGTAACTGTGCTTTTCTGTTCTGATGCAAGATGAGGGAAGTCAGTTCTATGGAGAGTTTCTTGCAAGAACTTCTGAGTGTTTCCAAAATGAAATGGGCTGTTTGTGTTGAGGAAGGAAAATGAGAGTATTCGTGTTAACTTGTCCATGAGTTACAACATGGACATGTTTATATCATAGTGAAACAGATGAAGTTAAGGACTGTGGCTTGATGTGTAAGGGAGGTTGTTGGGAATTCCATGTAAGCACTATATCTGGCTTCTTTAAACTTGACCTTTTAAAATTATCTTTAAACAGGCTAATTCTGTAGACTGAGTTGCACAGGAATAGGTTAGATGGTGAATGGTTTTTGGTGGTTGATTTTGTTGTTTGGGTGGTTATTTTTTCCATGAAAATGAGATCGTATATGTCATTTATTCTGTAGACTTCAACATTAATGCCTTCCCCACCCTCCCCCACCCCCCACACACATACACATACCCAATACTTTCTTTGGATGCTTTTGAAGTTCTTTGGTAATTAAAATGTCATCTATGGCTATGTTCATTTGCTTTATTTTTAATAGGGGTTATCTGTGCTTGGCACTTATTGATATTTTATGTGTCCATTACGCAGAATTCTATTTAGTTTAATCACCACCTTGTGGGAAAAAAAAGTCATGCATACATAACATGCATCTTTGTTCTCACTTTATTCATTTCCCAGCATCATTCCTCTATAAGCAGCACATGCTATCTTAAAACCTAAGCTGGCTTATTCTATAAGTTGCCAGACTTCCTCTTTATTTGTTTAAAACTCAGACAAGCCTCTTTTCATGAATGTCTTATGTTAGGGATTGTCTTGAATTTGCAATGTTAATATAAGAAGTTTTAGGTTTAAGATTAACAAAAGAAATTGTAAAACGTTACTGATATTATAATATGAAAATGGATTGTACATAATGTATTATTATAATATTTTAATTAAGTACCTGTACAACTTGGAAAGGACATACACATAAGAATTTCTCAGATCCTATTGCCTGTGCATTCTCAAAGGACATTTAGAGAGTTCAATTTTCTGCAAAAAGAAAAAAGTGTTTTTTCTTAAAATTATTTCTGTCTCTTATTTACCAATTTGATAAATTGTTACTTTTTAAACAAGTAGAAATTAATATTTTAGACGTCTCGGAAAATGTTCTGTGTTCATTTTGAAGGTGAAAAATGTATGGAATTTTTGATAGGATGGGAGAATCTTAAATGATTTGAGAACTCTACTATGACAGGAAATTTTAAACCTGATAATGCAGTCTTAGTTAATTTTGATATTAACTTATGTCAAGTGAGTTCTTCAAAATAAACATCAAAGACTTTCTTAACCTGATAGGGAACAGAAATATCTCCAATATCTCTGAAGGAAAAGTTGCTAATTAGCAGAAATAAATTCTTGAATGTAGTGAGGAGGACAATTTAATGATTCAGGGGGCACTTAAATCAGATCATCTGATTTTTCCCCTTTAAATCACTAATATCCAGATTGATTTGAAATACTCTTTGTTAAGGATACTCTATTTGAAATTTCATAACCAGGTTGACCCAAGTAGATCAGAGGCCCATCCAAAGATGATTGTCTAAAAGAAGTCAAGTGTAGGCTTGCACAATTTCTTCAAATAATTTTATCAACAAAGACAGATCATCTAAATAATCCAAGAAGGAAACCATGCCAACCTTACACTCTCCCTGTCTCATAAAAGATTTGTCTGAACTATCTGGATAATTACCATAATGAAACACTTCTTTGTCCAGAATCTGGACTCCAGATAGATGCAGTAAAAGTTGAATCCTCCTCCCCGAAATAACTTCTTTATTAAAGTAGAGCACTTAACCACTTTATACTTCACGGTACAGTGTTTCTTTGAAATTCTTTACTGAAAATTCTTTCCTCCTAACCTGAAGTCATCAGTTTCCTTAGAATTTTCTATGTTGAAAAGAATGTCAGATAATTCAGGTATTAAAGAGACTGTTTTGGAGTAGTTAAAAACTGTTTTGATTATACCTGGATGTTTATTCTTATAATACCTTTTTCTGGGAGGAATCTGTTATGTTAACATATGCATTGTATAAGAATTACCAAAGCACTTGTGTAGGTTATATGCCAAGTGATGCAACAGAATATTTAATGATGAAAAATTCCATATAGACTTTCACATTAATTAAAGAGGGGTTTGCAGGAATAGACTAAGTGTATCTGATCAATAATACATTTGGGTTCAAATTCTCCATCAGTATTTTTCTGTATCCTCACTGATTTGGGCATCCACCAGTGCTGATCAAAAGCATCATACTGCCTGGTGAAACTCAAAATTGATGTTAAAATGCAAATATAATATGCATTAATAATAATTTCAGGTAAAACATGATGTCTTAATACATACATTGAGAAATAAAGGAATTTTTAAAATATCAATGATAAAGTCATTCCATGGCTTCCTTTAAGTTCTGAACTGTAATATCATGGAAGCACTTGGAAAATGTTTTTAAGAGATTTAATTTATATTATGATAATGTAACAGTGCATTTTTTTATGTAGTAAATATATTTATGTATATATATATGTATAGTTTATGAAATGTGACACCAATAAAGTGCTGTGTCAACCGGTTATTATTATTTCGTCACGCCTATGGCCTCCATGGGCGATGGTCCCAGTGTGTGCTACCACTCTACCTTTATTTCCAAATTTGGGTCTAAGCTATATTGAGATATATTTATTTGTGCCTATTAATACAATGCCTTGTCTTGCTGGATTATATAATTTATCTTATTTTTCCCACTTGTTTTGTCCTATTTGTTATGTTTCAGCTGGACATTTTACAAGACCTAAAAGTATTTAAATTCTTTTAGCCCAAGACAGATACAAACTGTTATTTAATCTAAAAATGTTGACTGAAATAGAATTCTAAATATTAGTTTAGTTTGGTGAATATCATAGGAGTTATATCTTGTGCTTAACAGACCCCACAAGCATTTCTTTCCACCTTAGGAAGAGCACAGCCTTCCTCTTGGCTCCAGCATGATGCAGGGATGCAGCTGTTGATACCTAGGCTGGATGAGAGGAAGTGCAGTTGACGCAGAGGTAAATGGCAGTTGGAAAAGGAAGGATGCCTGGGGATGACCTTGTGCTCATCAGTGACACCAGTATGTCCTTTCCAAGTCTCTGTGACAGAGGTGTTCTTCCCATAGCAGGGATGTCAGGAGGAAAGCCCAGTTTGGGTGTTAAGGTGAACAGGGAGGAAAAAAAATAGTGCAGGAAGTTTGTTCGACGTTTTGATTGGAGGTCCTTGTGCTTTGCAGGTGACAGTAAAGAGAAACAGATTTGCATACAAATAGAAAAAATGTAAAATTTTAAAATACAGGCAATAAACTATTTTGGGGAAGCTGATCTACACACACAAAAAGTCTTCCTTGTAACCACCCCTCCATGCAAGTGTTTCTGTGATTAACAGAGCTTTGAAATAATTCATCCTTTTTCTTGTC